ACCCAGAAGTGCGATAAGTGTCAGCGATTTGCCAACATTCCACAACTTCCAGCTGAACCATTGACAGCCATGGTCAGCCCTTGGCCATTTGCCCAATGAGGACTTAACCTCATTGGACCTATGCCTGAGGGCAAGGGCCAAGTCAAGTATGCAGTTGTAGCTGTAGACTATTTCACCAAATGGGTTGAAGCCGAAGCCTTAACCACCATCATTGCAGCCCGCATCGAAACTTTTGTTTGGCAAAATATCGTATGTCGCTTCGGCATCCCGAACACCATCGTCGCAAATAATGGCCGGCAAGTTGATAATACAAAGTTCAAACAATTTTGTTCAAACCTCAAGATCCGTCTTTGCTTCGCCTCCCCAGCCCATCCTCAATCTAATGGCCATGTTGAAGCTGTGAACAAAATCATCAAGAAGACCCTAAAGACCAAGCTTGACAAAGCCAAGGGTTGCTGGCCAGAGCTACTCCCAGAGGTTCTCTGGTCCTACCGCACCACCTTCCTTACCTCCACAGGAGAAACACCGTTCTTTCTTTCCTTTGGTACTGAAGCCGTGGCACCAGTGGAGATTGGCCAGCCCACATACCGAACCTCCACTTATGATGCCGAAGCCAATGACAAGTAGTTAGCCCTGAATCTCGACTTCATTGACGAGCTTCGTGACCAATCCAACTTGCGCAACGTCGCGTACAAATAGCGCATCGCCAAGTACTATGACTCTCAGATCAAACCCCGTGCTTTCAAGATTGGGGACTGGGTCATGCACAAGGTTTCCTTGGCCACCAAGAACCCTACTGAAGGTACCTTGGGCCCTACATGGGAAGGTCCATATGAGATTACCAAAGTTTGCCGCCCCGGCACTTATCAGCTTCGTGATCCCAAGGGCAAGACTTTGCCTCATCCTTGGAACGTTGATCACCTTAAGTACTACTATAAGTAAACACACCTAGACCCTAGGGCATTATGTTTCTTAGACTTTGGTCTTGAGCCTTGCCTCAACCATCTCTTGTATCTTCTGCCTTTCGGCACTTATCTAATGAAATGCCTGACCCTGGCTATTTCTCATCAATCACATGATTATCATTTTGCTAGCACCACTGATATCAAATGACAACAAGCCTAATATCATTGCAAATCAAAATAGCCTTACCCCAAACAAGGCAAAATGTTCATACAAAACATAAATAAACATCAAATGTTCCAAACAAATAACTATATTACATAAAGAAGGCAACGCCTTCAAGACTCGGTAGAAAGGGCATCCATAGTAGCTGGCTCTGGCTCTGGCTCTGGAGTGGCATCAGTGATAGGACTAGGTGAAGGAGGCTTGCCACTCATATCAAAATTAATCTCCACTGAAGGGTTGAACCTCGCCAACCTCTCATCCCAACGCAGCTGCATATCCATCATCTGATCCATGATATAACTCCATAGCTCCTCTGAACTCTGAAATGACTCGACCGATTCGGCTCGGGCAGCAGCTATCTCTTCGGCCTTCTTCTGCTTTACCTCGGCCCGGGCAGCCTCTTCGGCCCTCAACTGCTTCAGCTCCTCCACCTCTCTGGCCAGCGCCGCCTTCTACAACAGCAGGGCGTTCTTCTCTCGGATGGCCTCCTGCGCCTCCGCTATCTTGTCTTTAGCCATCTCATTGCGCCTCTTCAATCTTTCGATCTCCTTATCTGCCTTGGTCATATTCACGTACATCTCGCCATAAGCCTACAACACAAAGCATCATCAGTCAGAAGCAAACTAGAATGATAAGAAAAAATTCACAAAGCAAGACAACTTACATAGGCATGGGTAAGGAACGTTTTCTGGGCCCGATCTGCATATGAAGAGGCTAGTGTCCTCGCCAGAACCTTGGGGTCACACTTCATGCCTTCCAGGAAGACGTTCACCAAGGGAACCTCTTGCCGATGCATAGCAAGGTTCACCTCCTTCTTCTGCCGATGCAGCCTGGAGAAGTCCACCTTCTCCACCCCCTTAGCATAAACGTCCTCCATACCGAATGGGAGCTTCGGCGGCGCCTGCAAGTCAAAGGGAGAAAGCCTTGGCCTTGTTCCCATCACACTCTGGTGAGCTTTCTCCAGCGCTCTCTTATTTCCCAGCACATCGGCAACCAGCCTTTATCGTCATCTCTAGGATGCTTACCAATCGCCTGCCTGGCACCCCCCCTTCTCAACTTTCTGCGCCCAAGACCCCCTAAGCCGTCTCTGCATCTTGGCATCATCAAGATCAACAGCCACCTTCGTGCTTCCCTTTATGATACTTGCCACTGCACATCATAAGCTAAGTTAGTCACAACTACAAAAAAGGAATCGGAAGACAAACAACAAAGATGACCCAAGTACTTACTTCCTTGCAAAAGGCCGGACTCAAGCAGATTCTTTTGAGTGACTAGGTTTCTACACTCACGCTCGGTCTCTGACAGCAATGACCTCACCCTCTCAACTTCGTCTTCTTGCTCCTTGGAGATTGGCCCTCACTTCACCGAACCTGCACCAAAGGTTAGACACTACTCAGCCACTTACACTTGCACAAGCAAAAAATGGGGAACCAAGAGTCAAAGCAGATAAAAACACTACAAAATAATAATCATTATTAAAGGATGGGGCCAAGGACCTATAGATTGGAAGTGGGTCGGAATGTGTTTGGAGACGGTCTTCCCTGGCGGACACTCCCAATCACCATAAGCCAGACACCACATGTTCCTCCAAGACTTCTGAGTAGAAGGCTTGTGACCAATGAAATAACCCCTATCTTTTGCCTTTTGGCAATTGGCTTGTACCCAGCCAAAACTTCCCTGTTGCTTGGAGATCGAGTAAAGATAATAAACTGCTTAAATGTCGGCTCCCCCAACCCAGCCAACCACCAGGCAATGTACACCCCATGAAGAAGAATCCAAAAGTTGAGATTATATTGCCCCGGCGCATATCCTAGCTTGGCCAACATCATCTGTACCCAAGTATGAAACGGTAGTCTGAAGCTATGCTGGTACATATCTGTAAAAATCATAACCAAACCCTCCAGAGGGTATCTAACCACATCAGATGCAATGGGTAACCTCAAGCCCACAAAAGGTGGAACACTATAATTTGTCTTAAGCTCAGCCAATTTTACTTTTGTATGAATATTCCACCTAGCCAAAGGGACACCAACCCGTATGTCCACCCCCTCTGAAGCTGAAGCCATGGTTATACCCACAGACCCTGATGGTGATGCCTGATCGCTCGAGCTTACCTCTGGTGTATGAGGCAAGGCTAGAACCCGATCAGCCACAGGCTCTAACACTGTGTAATTCCTCTGCATCTCTCTGTACTCAGCCTCCCAGGAATCTACTGAGGGCTCACCTCTCTCACCCTCATGCACTACCATCCTACTTTCTATCATACCTTCTACTACACCCTATGTCTGGGAACTCTCATCTTCATAACAAATATATTGGCTGGGCTCTTCACTCTCAGTATCTTCCCCACCAAAGGCAGGGGGGTCATGACTTTCTTTATCAGAACTTTCAGACATCTACAATATGCAGAAACAAGGAAAAGAAACTAATGCACATGCAAGAATGATCGAAAACACAAGAACACAAAAAGGAGGACACACCTACATGTTTTTTTTTATCTAAAATCATATATTCAACAGGTTCATACCAATATTCAAGGTTTTCATCATGCTCATACTCATATTCAAGGTGTTCATCCTAGTCTTCAACATGTTCATACAAAAAAGACATTTCAATTCAAAATTTCAAGGGAAATGAGGTCTAACCTTGTTTGCACCACCACGAATGAGACGTCGGAAATCACCTTGGCCATAGCACCACCGCGAGGTATTTTGCCCGAAATCTCTTTTTCTCCTTCTCACTTTCTAGAAATTTCTCTCAAAATCTCCAACTGTGATGCCTTCGTGACCCCAAGCTCTTATTTATAAAGGCTGTGATGCCTTCAAATTTTTTATAAAAAAAAAAAAACGGAAGGGAATTCGAATGGACCTTGCCGAACGGCAAGGCCCGTGCAGAAGGAAATGGGGGAGTCACAATTCACCCTTGTCCAAAACCAAGCTAACCCCGACCCGTGCATAGCTAATGAAGGTTCACAAGAATACCTACCACAATAGCCTACACGAGGGCCCAGCCCAAGTTCTTGCCATAAGGCAACTCAAGATTGTCTCAGGACCTCTATTCTTTTCGGATCAACCCTCACGGCCCAGCTTCAAGGCCCAGCTCCTAGCTCCAAGTAGCCACTTGCAGAAAGTTTACAAGACCATTACCCCAAACGTCAGATATCAAATCCAATGTTCAAACCAACCTTGCCGAACGGCAAGGTCCTTGTAAAACCAAAAAGGAGGCTCACCGAAATTACAAAATTGGAAGGCCTAACTCCAACGCAGGCCTAGGCCCAAGTCCTTGCTGACGCAAAAACCACACCAAAGTACTAACTCTTGACGCCCAGCTACAAAGTCGACCCGGCTACAAGGAAGCCAACCACAACAACGAAAGTTGCCATCAACTCGGAATGAACAAGACTGGCCTTGCTGAACGGCAAGGCCCATGAAAGAAT